AGTCTTTGACATCAACACGAAGTATACAAATGAATGTGAACTCATTATCCCACGAAGCGGCGGGCCATATTGGCTTCCAGTCATCACAATCATTTATTTTTGAACAAGCAAAATCATTTAATTTTTAGCAGCAGGAGTTCAGATTAAATGAAACCGTGGGCCGCAGGTGTCATTAATGTGTTGCTGATTCAGAGGTAGAAGTTTAAATTTAAATTATTTTCTTTGTGAACCCTGTGTGCAAAACAGCAGCACAAGAATACCAGATCGGAGAAAGGAAATTGTTGCTTTCACCCTAAAGCTGATAGACAGGTTTTAATACCTTGATTAACACCACGTAACAACAAAATCTATAGTTACTGTTTTATTATGCTGTTAAAGATCAGTAATGATTAAACAGTAAAACATGCCAACTAACAACAAGCCAATCGAGATGATGAAATACAAAAAACAAGCAGAATTCGTTTGATCAAAAAACATATTGATCAGGGCTTTTAACAGATTGTCCCGATGACAAGCATTAAGAATAACTTTATAGAAATAGCCAATCTTCCAGCTGATGGCCGTGTTTAATTATGTAGGTCATATAGAGGCGTCAGAATTAAAGTTCCTCACAGTAACTTTGAATAACAGAGTTATTAAAAATGTCACCAAATGGAACCTCAGGTAAACAGGTAAAATGTAGGTCACATTTGAAATATTTGGCTCAGAAGCTCAAACTAAATCAATCAGTATTACAGTAATACCATGAGACTGAGCAAATATGTGCATGGCATCCTGGGAAAATGATGCCGTTTTCATACCCTGAAATAAACCACTGAATCCCAAAACGATTCTCAGGCAGCAGTGAAAGCAAAATCCTTCAAGCGACTAAATGATTGATGGCCCACACACACCTCCAATTACAAACCCCGCAAGCAGCATCAGGTTTTCACCCCTGACCTTGAACAATAGAATCATCGTTAACGTGTAATTGGAGCTCAATAAGTCCTGCAGGCATTAAACTCTAACTTGCCTGAGAGGTATGTAGGGCAAAGTGGAGCACAGAACCACCAGAGGGCAATGCACTGAGCCTGGGCTGCCTGTGGGGGGCGCTAGCAAAGGAAAGACTGGAAGAATATAGCTGGAGGATATATTTAAGCAACAACAGACCAGAAGAGGAGTAAAAAAAAAAATGAATGAGAATAAGAGACCCTGAATGAGGAGCTTATCAACAGATATCTGTACTTGTGAATAGAGACGGGAACATTGTTGTAATGACACAAACAGACTGAGGCAAAAACAAACTCAGAGGTCTCCCCTTGCCCTCAGACAGACACTGAGCGTGGGCGGCTGGCTCGCTGCAGTTATCCGAGCCATGCGGCAAATAAATTCATAACATGCCACCAAGACACCCACACCAACTTCGGTGGGCATTCCCTCCAGTGCAAAAGTGGGGGCCCCTCCCCATGTGGCACAAAGTAAATCTCCACAATGCGTTATATTGTTACCCATGACACTGTCATCAACTAAGTTTCGTGGGAAATGCATTTGAAGAAGTCATACCGTTTACCGACTACTGTTGCTACTACTACACTAGAGATGTGTGATGATTCAGCGTCAAGCTGCCGTGTGTTTGACTGCCATAGAGTGCAAAGTACAGCTGGTCTCAGTGGAAATACGGCTTGATCACATCGCTAACACTAACATACGCTGAGCAAGAGATGAGTTACAAAAACACACTGATAAGTACATCCCGTTTAGCTGACTTTAAAAGGAATAGTCCGACATGTTTTGGGAAACATGCTTGTACGTTTCTTTGCAGAGATCGATACCAATCTGTGCTGTGAATAAGAAGCCGCAGCCGGTTAGCTGAGCTTGACTGGAGGATATAGCCATGTGCGTCATTTTCTCCTTTGAGATGTGTTAAAGCTGTGTACACTCCAAGCAAATGAACACAAGTGAAGGAATGTAAAAGAGAACGCCAGATAATTCCCTGATTGTCCATTGAGTGAATCATACAGCCATTGAAACTTTTCTCCACAGAGTAAATAGCTTAAATTCACTGAAACCACCCACACTCTCATACTGTACTTTCTTACACAACAGTTACAGATGGCTGAATGGCCTCAGCAATAAGCTTGCAGTAATATATGTCTCTTTTTTATATATTCATAATCAGTCATCGGTGATTATGAGAGACAGCACAAAACAATGTTGCGGCCCATTTGTTTGGTGCTATTATCTGAATCCTGCGTAAGACATTAAACCACAACTTAGTATAGCACAAAACACACAGCAATAAGAACAGCATGTCTACAGCTTTTCGCGCCCATGGCATCAAAGCACTGTTTTGCAGTCAATAACACATGCTACGCAGCTGGTGAGTGTTTGTAGAACGACTCACAGTTTTATGATTTTGCCTACTTTCCATACAAGTTGCCAAAAAAGTGATCAAGTCCCTAACCTTCTGTTATCAGCGCCGAGTCCAATTAGCTGAGCGACACTGTGTCACACTGATAAATTCTCTGTGGCTCTGCCATCTGTAAACATTTAGAGAATGCATTTTGTGCGCTATTAACTCCTTATCTTAATTTGTCTGAGTTTTTTTTCAGAAATGGCTGCTTTCACATCAGCGTCAAATTTTGGAGCGGGGATTATTCTTTAGCCGTGCGAGCACCGGGACTCCGGGGATGGCAGTGTAAGGCTGACCCGGACGCTTCCAAGCTTCAACCGTTGCCGTTGTAATAGACATCATTGTTGTTGCTGTTGTTGTTTTAACATACAGTACATTTCCCCAAAAGTCACAAATAGCCCATGAAATTAGGAATAGTAGTCACACTTTATTCATTAAGCATCTAAATGTTGCATTATTAGTGGCCGGCGCTGCTCGAGCAATGAAAGGCAGCGGAGATCGATAGACAGTCTCAATGAAGCCAGGTCTTTTATTTTATATACTGACATAGGCTACAGTCTATGTATTTATTTATTTGTTTACAGGCCTACATATGACTTCATTTGTTTTAATGGGCTATCGCTGTAATTTATTTGATATTGCACATTTTGTAGCCATTTTAGTTTCAATAAAAAATTAAATCCTTAAGAGTCAGTTTTTCTCTGCTGAGACAATAATAGCAAAGTAAAGTACAATATGAGTGAATAATGACCGCAAGTTTGAGGAACGTTTGACAGCATGGTTAGTCACCGCTGTCCCACCGCCGTTTTAATGCAGCGGATTACAAGAGCACCAACCATGACGGCCACAATGGGATGCTTCACACACAAATATGCCTTCCTCCCCCGTCTGCAGTACTAATTAGCCAATATTAGCATGCTAACATGGTCAATTAACACAGTAAACATTACACCTGCTAAACATCAGCATGTTAGCATTGTCATTGTGAGCATGTTAGCATACAGATATTACCATTGAGTTCAGCGTCACACAGCTTCTTGCTTGGATTGAGACTCTTGTTTAGAAATGAGTAGCTTAAGAGCACCAAAGAGGAAGTTTAATTGAAATCCAGTCAAGGTGCAGCATACTATAAGGTATCATTTAGGCCTACCACAGTTTAAAGGATAGAAGGAAGCCGCCATGACTTGGAACAGAGCCTCAACCACCTGTCAATCAATGCCAGACAGGCCATTATAAAGCCGGTCGTCTGCACTTGTCCAGCTGCTGGCAATGAACGCAGTCAGACGTTTCCTCTGGACAGCTCTCACCCTCAAGGTTAGACAGCTTTTCAGTGAAGCTCTTTCTCATTCATTCATTCTTACATTCTTCTTTGCCTCTGCTCCTCCCGTTTCCCTGCATCCCATCTCTCCTCTGTGATGATTTAATACCAGCTGTCTGCTCTCTATTCCCCTCCATCCCTTTCTCTCTCAGCCTGATGAAGTCAGAGTGCAGCTGTGATATAAACATCCACTGCGGGCCATCCATAGTGATCTCATTACACGCAGCTGCAGGGGAAACTGTCTTAACCAATTTCACAGCTAACCTCCCCCTCCCTCCTCCTAGATACATCAGGGTCAAGTAAGAAATTAAGGGGCCAATTGTCTAAACAGGATACCAGTTGAATAGAAGAAACAGAAATGATGCGGCAAGTTTCCAATTAAGCATCAAAGAACAACGCCCCCTAATTGTTTTGCACTGAGAAACCTCTCGAGTGTGACTTGTGCAATGGCAGTATTAACCCATAGTGTATCAATAATTAAGCTATCAGGAAGGAACGTTGAAATATGCATTATTGTGTGACAGCACATTATTAGACAATACGTTTTTAATTGCCTGAAATCTGACTGTGAATGGCAACAAGAATCGTTGGAGGAAAATGGAAAATAAACAACGAAAGACACAGTATATATAAATGTTAGACCTCATTAGGCTCCATGTCCCCGTGTGACTTAAACGCGCACATATTAGCACAATGTCTCGCCACAGATTCAAACAAGAAAGGACAACTGCAACAGTAATTCAAAGTACAATTCTCACTTAATGTTCAGGTAGAAAACTACTAATTATTTGGCAATTAACAGTCTGTATAGTATAATAACTTTGATTAAGCCAAAAGCTGTCAGACTCACTAAAGGCTTTTATTATTTCCATTACATGTCTCTATACTAACTGGGTGTGTGGCTAATTGACAGCAACTGGGTTATCACGCGAGATTTGTTTCCAAATGTGGTCACTGTGACACAGGAAGTTGTTTAGTTTTGAAAAAAAGCTTCCACAGTAATTCAGTAGACCGCAAATTCGTGAAACAAACTGCTTGAAGATGAAACTGATCAGATGTTTCCTTGGGGAAATGATCTGTATCCTGACAAAATCATAAAAGAAAACATTTTGAACATTTGTATTTCTTTTGAGACAGCCAACTAATACAATCAGCGGTTTGCAGCTATTGTTGCCACAGAACGGACGCACTCCTCTCTCTTGTATACAAAAAGCATCTTGGCTCTACAAACATCCATCCATCCATCCATCCAGACCGTTACAATAAATGTCACTGTAAAAGTCCTCTTACCGGATGTTGTGGGACTTGCGTTTGATCTCGTTCCAGCAGAGGTTCATTTCTCCTGTTTGGTGCGGGCCGCCACCTCTCAGTGTCCTGCACTCGGCCCCCTCCTCCTGGCCCTCACTGTCCACTGTGGACTGGCACGGCACACAGTGGCATCCCGGCCACGAGGGCCGCCCCGCAGCTAAGGACAAGAAACAGCAGGGGAACACCCAGGTCAGACAATTTATTTTCCCTTTTTTGGATTGAGTCTGCTAATAATTAATATTCTGTTCTGATATATAACGCAACAGATGGTAGGATAACAACTTTTTGGCGACCTCAGAGGTTTATCAAACAAGACGTTGTGGAAGACAAAACAACGTATTGTTAAATTAAAATTCACAAAACTCCATAAAATGTTCAACTTTTGCCACAACGCAACATCATCCATCAAGGCACTGCACGGGTCCATCAAATACATTCAAGCACATGTTTCTGGTTGATTACTTTGCAACATGAATGAAGAGTTTCTACCGTTCACTTTGCAATCGCCGAGCAAAAATATAGATTCTACAGTGACAACTTTCCAGAGCAGTAAAAACCTAACTAAATCTCGTAATATAAACTAATGTGCAGTGTTGTAGTGTCTGATAAGCCTTCCAACTTGTTGTCTCATGTGTCTCATGTTGTCTCATGTGCAGCCACTGTTTTCCGTCTAAACACCCACTCAGAATGAGCGAGCAGAGAGCAACATACTGTACCACACCAATTTTAAATGTTATTGAGTCATGTTCCTACAGACAAAAATGTACTTTATAGCTTTACCCATATTTACATTTGAAGAGATTTATACCAAACAACTCTAAAACCAACAAATAGAAATCCTCATTGACATAACATTCTCCATTTTGGGAGGGGAGCAGCAGGTTTACTGTTAGTTAAGACCTGATCAATGAAAGGGGAAACATTGGGACACATGAATCCTTAACACGAATGATCTGTCTAGTCCATGACAAGAAAATGAAAAGACAGTGCAGGGCAGAACCTGCATTTCTGATTTAAAAAAGAAATAGGTCAAAATGAGCTGAACAATAAAGCAGCAGGGAGATACCTACAGTCTACCTCGAGGTAACACACCCACCTTGTTAAAGAAAAGCACCACACACACACACACACACACACACACACACACACACACACACACAC